AGCAGTTCTCCGTTCTCTTTTTGGAGAAGTATGTGCCACAGTCTCGCAGAGAGGAGTTGCGCAGGCAGTTCGAGTGGTTGCGTCGGGGAGAGATGACTGTGACGCAGTATGAGATGAGGTTCTCAGAGTTAGCTCGTCATGATGTTTGGTTGGTTCCGATGGGGAGAGAGAGGATTAGGAGGTTCGTTGATGGCCTCACATATCAGCTTCGTATTCTTATGACCAGGGAGAGGGTGTCTGGTGCTACCTTTGAGGAGGTTGTTGATATTACTCGTGAGATTGAGTTAGTTCGTCGCCAGGAGCGAGATGAGAGAGAGGACAAGAGGCCTTGGGGATCTAATAGTTATGGTAGGGCTCCTTCGAGAGGCCAGTTTCAGCACAATAGAGACCGTCCATTCAGGCATGCTCAACCAGCTCGCCCAGGTTATCGTGGGACGTCATCGAGTCATGGTTCTCATAGTTCTCATCAAGAACAATCATCACTCAGTGCCCTTCCAAATCAGAGTTCGTCCCATGCTCCATTAGTTCAGTGCTCTTCTATGCCAGGTGCATCTGCTAGTCATTTCGGTGCTAGAGGTTCCCTTCAGTCCCCGTCTCCAGCACCCGAGAGTTGCTATGAGTGTGGAGAGTTGGGTCATATTGTGATGACCCAAAAGGTCATCACTTGTGTTGCAAGTGAATTTAGTGTTCCAAGGCCTAAAAACCTCATTTTTATCCCACCTTGATTTACGTGCGTGGTTCGGACCTATATCCGAAAAGCCTTCTATGTGAAAATATGAGAAATAGAAATTTTAGAGTTAAAAATTTGATTGTGGTTGACTTTGGTCAACATTTTTAGCAAACGGACCCAGATCCATTTTTCGACGATCCCGGGAGGTCCGTAGAAAAATATGGGACTTGGGCGTATGCCCGGAAATGAATTCCGAGGTCCCAAGCCTTAGAAATCAATTTTTGAAAGAAATTGTTTTACTGAATTATCTAAGAAATAAAGAAAGAATTAATATTTGAAACCATTGTTATCGGGCCCCTATTTTGGTTCCGGAGCCCGATACAAACTTGTTATAGTATTTGAAAGATAACTATGAAATTTGGTAAAAAAAACGGAGTTTATTTGACGTGAGTTGGACTCCCGGTTGAAGAGTTATGAACTTTGGGAGTTCTTGATGAAAATGTTGAGTTTTAAGGTTTAATTTATGATTTTACATGTTATTTTGATGATGTGATCGCACGAGTAGGTTCATATGATGTCTTTGGGTTAGTATGCACCCTTGGTTTGGAGTTCCGAGGGCTCGGGTGAGTTTCAGGTAGGTTCCAGAATGTCTTAGGGTTAAAACATAGTTGTTGCAGGTTCAGAGAAGTGGAAGGCCTCTGAACAAACCAGTGCGGTCCGCACAAAATGGAGTGCTGCCGCGGAGGTCCTGTGCGGCCGCACTGGGTTCTTGCGGTCCGCGGTGAAGAACAATTTCATTGGTTCGACTTCGGAAGCCTATATCTTTTGATCTACAAGGAATTTTGAGATGATTCAAAAACGAAAGTTGTAGCCCTTTGTTTCTAGTTTCTCGAAAGCTAATAAAATCACAATTTGGACATTTGTATAGAAAGGTATGGCGAAAATACTAAAGCATATTACTGTAGTCCACACGGGAGCTATGTGGCCGCACTCGATTTTGTGTGGTCCACACAGGGGGTCTGAGAGGGATATATTAAAATGGGATTTTAAGTTAATTTTCATTTTTCAAAATCCAAAAAACATAAGAGGTGATTTTTCAAACAACCTTTCTTCTCCAAAACATTGGTAAGTGATTTCTAACTCGTTTTCTTCAATCATTAACATCTTTTCACATGATTTCAACTCAAAATCAATGATTTTCATGGGGAAAATTAGGTGTTTTGGGTAGGACCTAAGTTTTTCAACAATTGGAGATTTAGATCTCGATTTGAGGTCCGATTTCAAAACAAATTTTATATTTGGATTCATAGGGGAATGTGTAATCGGGTTTTGGTTCGAACCTCGGGTTTTGACCATATGGGTTTGGGGGCAATTTTTAACTTTTTGGGTAAAACTTTGAAAAACTCATTTTCATGCATTGGAGTTGATTCATTTAGCATTTATTAATATAATTAAGTAAATTGTGGCTAGATACAAGCGAGTTGGAAGTGGAACCAAGGGGTAAAGCGGTAGTTGAAGCTTGATTGTGCTTGTGGCTTTGAGGTAAGTGTTTGGTCTAACCATAGCTTGAGGGATTAGGAGTCGAGTCCTATTTGCTATGTGGTAATTGTTGAGTACGACGTATAGGTGTGATGACAAGTATCTATACATTAGTGTCTGGCATGCCCGTGAGTCTTATATTGTGATTATCATGACTTCGTTGTATCTTTCATGCCTTGATAATGGTTTCCACTTGTTGTGTAAAGTTTGTGGAAGGAATTATGACCTATGAGCATTGAGGAGCGTTGGCTCAAGTTGTATAACAAATTGTGAAAGTATAAGTGATAATTGAACCTCTAGAACATTGGCTCGAGTTGTGAGGTGAATTGTGAAGTAAAAGTGAGAAAGATAAGAGATCATTATGTTGCCACCCTTGCCGGGCTATTGTTGCTTTATTTGTTATCTCCCATACCGGGATGTTGATATTATTGATGTTGTTCCCTTGCCGGGATTCTTATTATAATCTCATTTATTCCCTTTCCCTATTATTTGTGATTGTTGTTTGGGTGAGGAAGAGAGGTAAAGCATGAAGGGTGATACCATGCATTATTTTTTTTTGTGAGGAAAGAGTGTAAAACACGAAGGGTGATGTCGTGTATGATTGTGAGAAAAGAGTGTAAAGCACGAAGGGTGATGCTGTGCCACACGATGTACCATTCCTTGCCGATTATATTGATTATATGGTGAGGAAAGAGAGTAAAAGCACGAAGGGTGATGCCGTGCACATTTTTATTATATCATTGCTTTGGTGAGGACGAGAGTAAAAGCACGAAGGGTGATGCCGTGCATTTATCGATTTCTGACTCTTTGTTGATGTCCGAGTTATATTGTTTCTTTCGTTTACTTGTTGTCTTTCTATTTGTAATCGATATCTCCCCCGCAGCATGCTCCCCCTCCCATACTCTACTATTTATTTCTGTATTTCTTTTCTGCTGTATATATCTGAATTGTACAGGTTTATTTGATAGTCTGGTCCTAGCCTCGTCGCTACTTCGCCGAGGTTAGGCTAGACACTTACCAGCACATGGGGTCGGTTGTGCTGATACTACACTCTGCACTATGTGCAAATCCCGAAGCAGCTCTTGGATCGTAGTTTGGAGGCTACCTTCAGTCCATACGGAGATCCAAGGTAGACCTACAGGCGTCCGCAGGCCCTGGCGTCTCCCTCTATCCCTATTTCCTGTTTTATTTTCTTTACATTCAGAAACAATGTATTGTTATTTTCTTCAGACTTTGTATGTAGTAAATCTTAGACCGTTTGTGACACTGTGACACCAGATTTTGGGTACTTAAGGCCTTAACAGTTGTAATAGATGCAGATTTCAGATATTTTATTATTTTCTTCCGCTTAAATTCTAATTTCCATTGTTCATACGTTATCGCTTTATGTTTGTTAAAAAGAAATAAATGGATAATGAAGTTATTAGTTTAAAGGATCAACTTGCCTAGCTCACATCAGTAGGCGCCATCATGACTCCCGAGGGTGGGACATCCGGGTTGTGACACATATGTGAGATAGTGTCCTCGTCGTCTTGGGGGTTCGTCTTAGCAGAGGAGTCAGCCATTGGCTTCATCGCCAGTTACTTCAACACCACCCATCCAGCTAGCTAAGGGTGGAGGTCAGCCAGCTAGGGGTCTCCTAGAGGGGGAGGTCGATCAGGTGGCGGTCAGGACCGTTTTTATGCACTCCCAGCTAGACCTGATACTATTGCTTCAGACGCCGTGATCACATGTATTGTCTCAGTCTGCCACAGAGATGCCTCTGTATTATTTGATCCCGGTTCCACTTATTCTTATGTGTCATTATACTTTGCTCGTTATTTGGATACGCCCTATGAGTCTCTTGTTTCATCTGTTCGTGTATCTACTCCGGTGGGCGACACTGTTGTTGTAGACCATGCATACCGGTCATGTGTGGTGACTGTTGGAGGTCTGGAGACCCGAGTGGATCTTTTATTATTATGTATGGTAGACTTCGATATTATATTGGGCATGGATTGACCATTTCTGTGTCGCGCTATTTTGAACTATCATGCTAAGACAGTGACATTAGCTATGCCGGGTGTGCCACAGATTGAGTGGCGAGGTTCGACTGATTATGTCTCCATTAGGGTAATTTCATTCTTGAAGGCCCAGCGTATGGTTGGGAAGGGTTGTCTTTCTTACCTAGCCTTTGTGAGGGATGTCGGTGTAGAGACTCCTAGTATTGATTTTGTTCCTGTTGTGAGGGATTTTCTCGATGTGTTTCATGCAGACCTGCCGAGCATGCCACCAGACATGGATATTGATTTTGATATTGACATGGTGCCGGGCACTTATCCCATTTCTATTCCACTGTATCGTATGGCACCAGCGGAGTTGAAGGAGCTGAAGGAGCAACTTCAGGAACTCCTTGATAAGAGGTTCATTCGGCCTAGTGTGTCGCCTTAGGGTGCGCATGTTCTATTTGTGAAGAAGAAGGATATCACTATGAGGATGTGCATTGATTATAGGCAGTTGAACAATGTTACGGTTAAGAATAAGTATCCTTTGCCTCGCATTAATGATTTATTCGACCAGTTTCAGGAAGCGAGGTGTTCTCCAAGATTGATCTCCGTTCAGGTTATCACCAGTTGAAGATCAGGGACTCAGATATTCTTAAGACGGCTTTCAGGACTTAATATGGTCATTATGAGTTCTTGGTGATGTCTTTTGCTAGTGATTATCCCATGAATCCGCACACATGCAAATTAAAAAACAGAGTTAGCAAAACGAATTATAAGACAATAACAGAATTTTAATACCTCTTCATCTTGTAGAACCAATTCAATTGAGAAAATAGCGTCTGAATTGTAACGATCTGGTACTGCCCATAGACAAACAACCCGAACTTTCAACTTCCATTTACCTGATGAAGAAGCTGGGAATGTATCAGCTGCCTGCGTGGTGTTAAACCAAAATGCTAAAGAGAGCGAAGGGGAAATCATGAACTACGTTTCATGTAATGTAGTACACTAAAAGACAGATGCCGCCGCTGCGAAGCTAGGGAGCAACTTGTTTGGTCTTGCGGTGCACTCATTCCCGTTACGAGAATGAAATGACGCCCCAGCTTGACTCGAGACCAAGACTCCTTACAACTCGTACCAATAGCGGCTGCATTTTCGAAATTGTTATATCTTTTAATTATATCATTGTGAGTAGCCATATTTTGTAGGAACTGTAGGTTTTCTTGATTTTCTTTATAACAGTAGGAAAGATTTGAATTTAAGAACCGACTATCAGTTGGGAGATATAGAAGTTGATCGTCAGTTTTGAGCAGTTCCATATGGTTTCATGAGTTATAATCGTGCGTGCCTTTCAATCGTATGGTTGAGCGATTTCGTGACCGTCCACTATCCTTAATGTAGGTTTTGCATAGGAAATTAGGGAAAGTGGGGTTCTAATTGTGCAATTTTTAAATAATAATGTAAATCGGTATTCTTTTTTAAATATAAAGAGTAAACAATGTATGTTTTAAAATTAGTTAATTTTCTTATTAAAAAATCTGAAATTTTGAATTAAATAAAGCTCTTTTAAAAATAAAGTTTGGTTTTTATGGTTCAAAGTCAAGAGTAAAAAACGTATGTTTTCAAATGTTCAATTTTTAATTTTTAAATAATAATCTAAATCAAATTTAATTTTTAAAGTTAAAGATTAAAAAACGTAACTGTTTTAACATCAGTTAATTTTTTATAAATAAAGAATATTTAATGTAAATCATTTTTCTTTTTTAAAGGTAAAGAGTAAACAATGTATGTTTTAAAATCAGTTAATTTTCTTTTAAAAGAAATTTGAAATTTTGAATTAAATAAAGCTCTTTTAAAAATAAAGTTTGATCTTTATGGTTCAAAGTTAAGAGTAAAAAACGTATGTTTTCAAATGTTCATTTTTTAATTTTTAAATAATAATCTAAATCAAATTTATTTTTTAAAATAAAGAAATCTGAAATTATGAAGTAGTTTTTTTTTTCAAATAATTTTATAGGTCTTATTTTTTGGAGAATTGTCCTAAAGTGCCATGTGGCATATTCTGATGATGCCACTTGGCAAAAGGAGAATGCTTTTTCTTCTCCTTTTAATTATAGACTAGTATACTTACCCGCGCGATGCGCGGATCATTTCAAAAGAAAAAAGAGGGGGG